AGGGATATAAAGGACCAGTCCCAGCTGTAATCCAGTGTAATGATCGCTAGGGATATAAAGGACCAGTCCCAGCTGTAATCCAGTGTAATGATCACTAGGGATATAAAGGACCAGTCCCAGCTGTAATCCAGTGTACTGATAAGGGATAAAAAGGACCAGTCCCAGCTGTAATCCAGTGTACTGATCACAAGGGATGTAAAGGACCAGTCCCAGCTGTAATCAAGTGTACTGATCACTAGGGATATAAAGGACCAGTCCCAGCTGTAATCCAGTGTGCTGATCACTATATAAGGATATAAAGGACCAGTCCCAGCTGTAATCCAGTGTAATGATCACTAGGGATAAAAAGGACCAGTCCCAGCTGTAATCCAGTGTACTGATCACTAAGGATATAAAGGACCAGTCCCAGCTGTAACCCAAGGGAACTGATCACTAGGGATATAAAGGACCAGTCCCAGCTGTAATCCAGTGTACTGATCACTAAGGATATAAAGGACCAGTCCCAGCTGTAATCCAGTGAACTGATCACTAAGGATATAAAGGACCAGTCCCAGCTGTAATACAGTGTACTGATCACTAAGGATATAAAGGACTAGTCCCAGCTGTAATCTAGTGTACTGATCTCTAAGGATATAAAGGACCAGTCCTAGCTGTAATCCAGTGTACTGATCACTAAGAGTCCCAGCTGTAATCCAGTGTACTTATCACTATATAAGGATATAAAGGCCCAGTCCCAGCTGTAATCTAGTGAACTGATCACTAAGGATATAAAAGACCAGTCCCAGCTGTAATCTAGTGAACTGATCACTAAGGATATAAAGAACCAGACCAAGCTGTAATCTAGTGAACTGATCACTAAGGATATAAAAGACCAGTCCCAGCTGTAATCTAGTGAACTGATCACTAAGGATATAAAAGACCAGTCCCAGCTGTAATCTAGTGAACTGATCACTAAGGATATAAAAGACCAGTCCCAGCTGTAATCTAGTGTGCTGATCACTAAGGATATAAAGGACCAGTCTCAGCTGTAATCCAGTGTACTTATCACTATATAAGGATATAAAGGACCAGTCCTAGCTGTAATCCAGTGTACTGATCACTGAGGATATAAAGGACCAGTCCCAGCTGAAATCCAGTGTACTGATCACTAAGAGTCCCAGCTGTAATCCAGTGTATTGATCACTAAGGATATAAAGGACCAGTCTCAGCTGTAATCCAGTGTACTTATCACTATATAAGGATATAAAGGACCAGTCCCAGCTGAAATCCAGTGTACTGATCACTATATAGGGATATAAAGGACCAGTCCCAGCTGTTTTCCAGTGTACTGATCACTAAGGATTTAAAGGACCAGCCCCAGCTGTAATCCAGTGAACTGATCACTAAGGATATAAAGAACCAGACCAAGCTGTAATCTAGTGAACTGATCACTAAGGATATAAAGGGCCAGTCCCAGCTGTAATCCAGTGGACTGATCACTAGGGATATAAAGGACCTGTCCCAGCTGTAATCCAGTGTACCGATCACTAGGGATATAAAGGACCAGTCCCAGCTGTAATCCAGTGTACTGATCACTAGGGATGTAAAGGGACTATAAAACCACATCATTACTCTCATCATATGTAACATCAACTCAGCAACATGGACATTTTCCCAGTTTTCCCAAAACACAGAAATTCAAGATTAAAATTCCCTGCAATACATTAATTACTCTCTATATTAGAATTGTATAAAACTGCTGAGAAAACCTTGCGAATATAACAGAAATAAAAATCAATAACTTTGATCACAATATAGTGAAGCTTTACACAAAGTCTAACCAAGGTCAGCAAAATGGAAAATAAAGGTCACAGTGACCTACATATTGGTACATTTTTGTTAAGATGTATCTGGGGATTCACTCCCTATTATCTTAACTATTGTCCCTATATGGTTCTATACAGAGCCAACCAATTTTATTTGGTTGAGGACTTTTTGTGTCAGAAATGTATAACAGTTTTGAGCTGTCCTGTGGGAACCCTCTTCTTACTCGTTAGAAATCTAACGTATTTGAAGCCTGTTGTTGTTATATGGTACAAGTGTTTGTATTTTCTTTGTCCTTTCACTATACATGTACCACAACCACTTCTAAACTCTAATTCTATGTATGCAACTACTCAATATTTATTCAAATAGCATAGGGAAGACAACTCTCCTAAAAGAACGTTACCGTATTACATGACGCTTTGGCACTTTCAGATGACTCTATTTGAAAATTCATGTTGTTTTAGCTTTAAAGAAGTAACCATTGGGGCTAAAGTAATACTGACCATCTATAGAAAACAGGAGGATGACAACAGAACAGCTCTAAACCAAGGATTTATTGAAATATTAAGCTAGGCTAAAAATGAAGTCTAACCAAGCCATCTCTACTCAGTTAAAGGGGTATATAAATCAAAGGTGATGCCAATGTCATGATCATACCATTTGGACTAGTTTGTACTCCATTCTGCCTTGATTAGTTATGTAAGCTTGATAAGATCCATCCAGAAATAGAATTGTAACATAATATGATTAAACACCTTTTATCAACTTTAACCAATGACAGTAACTACTGGGTGTTTGGAATACCTTGAAGGAGATCTGGCTTTCTGCCATCGCCTTTCTCGTGTCGACTTAGGCAGCGTGCCTGGTGGTCGATCCTGATGTGGTGGCCCTGGATACAGGCCTGACGGTGTAGTTCGCAGTGGCTGGGGTAGAGCAGACCATCTGTCCCACACACTGCCTTCTTGTGTCCCAGACACATAGAATCATCTCCACAGACACAGACCCCCTCCAGACACACACGCCCAGTCGCACAGTCACCATCCTCGTAACACGTCTCTGTAACAAAAATCTTCGTATCAGCAGTGACATACACTACTGTAACTAATACAAAGTGACTTAAGTTACACTACCTGTCCTGGTAACAAATATTGTATCAATCATGACATACTGCCATCACTAATTTAAAAAGACTTCAGTAACTACCACTCCTTGCAACACCCGTACAAAATTTAGAATGCAACGTAAATAACTAAGCACTCATTTCCCTTCCACCGCTTATCTTATTTAATCATAAAACATACTCTGACACTGTATCCTCTACTTTACCCTTCAACCCGATATCTTACTAACGTAACTCATAAAACATACTCTGACACTGTATCCTCTCCTTTACCCTTCAACCTGATATCTTACTTACGTAACTCATAAAACATCCTCTGACACTGTATCCTCTACTTTACCCTCCAACCTGATATCTTACTAACGTAACTCATAAAACATACTCTGCCACTGTATCCTCTCCTTTACCCTTCAACCTGATATCTTACTTACGTAACTCATAAAACATCCTCTGACACTGTATCCTCTACTTTACCCTCCAACCTGATATCTTACTAACGTAACTCATAAAACATACTCTGCCACTGTATCCTCTCCTTTACCCTTCAACCTGATATCTTACTAGTTACGTAACTCATAAAACATCCTCTGACACTGTATCCTTTACTTTACCCTCCAACCCGATATCTTACATAAACGTAACTCATAAAACATCCTCTGACACTGTATCCTTTACTTTACCCTCCAACCCGATATCTTACATAAACGTAACTCATAAAACATCCTCTGACACTGTATCCTCTACTTTACCCTCCAACCAGATATCTTACTTAAACGTAACTCATAAAACATACTCTGACACTGTATCCTCTACTGTTCCCTTCAACCCGATATCTTACTAACGTAACTCATAAACCATACTCTGACACTGTATCCTCTCCTTTACCCTCCAACCTCTCCTTTACCCTCCAACCCGATATCTTACTTACGTAACTCATAAAACATCCTCTGACACTGTATCCTCTACTTTACCCTTCAACCAGATATCTTACTAACGTAACTCATAAAACATACTCAGACACTGTATCCTCTCCTTTACCCTTCAACCCGATATCTTACTAACGTAACTCATAAACCATACTCTGACACTGTATCCTCTCCTTTACCCTCCAACCTGATATCTTACTAACGTAACTCATAAAACATACTCTGACACTGTATCCTCTACTTTACCCTCCAACCCGATATCTTACTTAAACGTAACTCATAAATCATCCTCTGACACTGTATCCTTTACTTTACCCTCCAACCCGATATCTTACTTAAACGTAACTCATAAAACATCCTCTGACACTGTATCCTCTCCTTTACCCTCCAACCTCTCCTTTACCCTCCAACCCGATATCTTACCAACGTAACTCTTAAAACGTCCTCCGACATTGTTTTCTATGACATGAGTCACTTACCATAGGACATGGCCACCAGATGTCCTTCAATCATGTTCCTGTCCTGTACTGCTGTCACCGGAGTGACCTTGGTGGGTTTGGTAGTGGGTGGGTTTGGACTTGTCTGGGAGTCAAATGGAGTCCTGTATGGGTCCATTTCTGACTTCATCTCTACGATGGGAGCCTGTGCAGTGTTTGATGCTGCTTCTCCGGCCTGTACTTGAAGGGTCAGTCGTTGGAGGTTTATGTCCCCAGATTCATCAATAATAGGGCCAGTCTCAGGTTTTAGGTGCAAACCTTCTTTGTCATCCTCTCCAAACAGATTCATTTCAGCTAAGTCTGCCTCGTCCACACTATCAGCTAAGTCTGCCTCGTCCACACTAACAGGCATGTCACCCTGCATCTTTTCATCATCCTTCTTGAATGACTTATCTTTATTCAGGAACATTTTGTTGACTGTGTCTTTATTTTTAAAACCTTCTATTTTATCAGGTTTAGAAAGAGCTTTGTCATCTTTGTTATTCCTTAATCCCTTTTTGTTATCCTCTTTAAAACTTTTGTCATCAGTATCTTTTCCAAAATTGTTGGGTTGTTCTTTGTCATCTTCTTTGAAATTCTTACTATCCTCCTCTTTTCCAAACTTTGCATATTCTTTTTTGTTATCTTCTTTGAAACTTTTGTCATTGTTGTCTTTCCCAAAATTGTTCAATTCTATTTCACCATCTTCTTTAAAGCTCTTGTCATCTTTGTCCTTACCAAAGTTATTACTTATTTGTTCTTTATCTGCTTCTTTAAAACTGCTGTCTTGCTTATCTGCTTCTTTGAAACTCTTGTCTTGCTTATCTGCTTCTTTGAAACTCTGTTCTTGCTTATCAGCTTCCTTAAAACTTTTGTCTTGCTTATCTGCTTCCTTGAAACTCTTGTCTTGCTTATCAGCTTCCTTAAAACTCTTGTCTTGATTATTTGCTACCTTGAAACTCTTGTCCTGCTTATCAGCCTCCTTGAAACTTTTATCTTGCTTATCTGCTTCTGTGAAACTCTTGTCTTGTTTATCAGCCTCCTTGAAACTCTTGTCTTGCTTATCATCTTCCTTAAAACTCTTGTCTTGTGTATTTGCTACCTTGAAACTATTGTCCTGCTTATCTGCCTCCTTGAAACTCTTATCAGTTGCCTTTAAGCCCTGATTTGACTCTGGTTTATCTGCCTCCTTAAAACTTTTGTCCACTTTGGTTACTTTGAAGGATGACCTACCGTCTTCCTTTTTTAATGCCTTTTTATCTGAATCCTTACCAAATCCTTTATCGTCACCTTTCACACCTTTTCTTACTCCTTCAAATTTTATATATGAACCGTCGAAAATGCCATATGGATATTTTTCTCCGTAAACTTCTATAAGGTATCCTTCCATAGTCTCGTCAGTTACCTTCATTTCTCTGCCCAATTTATTTTTGTCCTCCTTCACCACCTCCTTCTCTCCTTTGCCTGTTGTCAATGTTTTGTCTTTCTGATCACCGTCTAAGGATGCTTCTGTTTCTTCCTTGCCTGTCACCACTGCTTTCGTGTTAACTCGTTTGTCCTCAGACATGGCCTTTTTGTCTTCCTTTCTCAACCCAGTTTTTTCTCCACTGTCCTTCCCAAAACGATTGGAATGCTTGTCTTTATCATATGCCTCATAAAACCTACCATTGTCCAATTCCTCTTCCTTTTCACCTTTCCCATCAAGACTTTTGTCCTCTTTAAATTTCTTGTTTTCTTTTTTATCCTCTGTATTAAGTTTCTTGTCTTCCTCACTTTTGCTACTGTCTTTGTCCTCCTTCCCCTCATCCCTAAGTGGCACATCTAACTTGAGAGGTGGAGGATTGGGGATTTTGGGAATGCTGGGAACATTCCGATAGGACTTGTCCCGTTGTGATGGGTTGTCATCAATGGTATATAATGGAGTATCATCATAGCTGTAAACACGGTCTGATAAAGAGCCCTCCCATGATTGACGTGAGCGCTTGTGTTTCTGTAATGACATAACAAACTGCAAACTTAGTATTTTATATACTTATACAGTTTACTTATTATATATTTTAAACTATTTTCATGTTACAAATCAAACTTCAAATTGTAATAGTCAAGTTAACAATTAAGAAACAATTATGTCACTTGCAAAAGGCTAACAGCTTTGTACCAGGTGAGCTAAGAATTGAATGTGGTGCTATTAAACCCCTTGGTAAACCTGCTACAGTTACAGAATTCATGTAGCATGAGACCTGCTACAGTTACAGAATTCATGTAGCATGTAACCTGCTACAGTTACAGAATTCATGTAGCATGTAACCTGCTACAGTTACAGAATCCATGTAGCATGAGACCTGCTAGTTACAGAATTCATGTAGCATGAGACCTGCTACAGTTACAGAATTCATGTAGCATGAGACCTGCTAGTTACAGAATTCATGTAGCATGTAACCTGCTACAGTTACAGAATCCATGTAGCATGAGACCTGCTGGTTACAGAATTCATGTAGCATGTAACCTGCTACAGTTACAGAATTCATGTAGCATGTAACCTGCTACAGTTACAGAATTCATGTAGCATGAGACCTGCTAGTTACAGAATTCATGTAGCATGTAACCTGCTACAGTTACAGAATCCATGTAGCATGAGACCTGCTGGTTACAGAATTCATGTAGCATGTAACCTGCTACAGTTACAGAATTCATGTAGCATGTAACCTGCTACAGTTACAGAATTCATGTAGCATGAGACCTGCTAGTTACAGAATTCATGTAGCATGTAACCTGCTACAGTTACAGAATTCATGTAGCATGAGACCTGCTGGTTACAGAATTCATGTAGCATGTAACCTGCTAGTTACAGAATTCATGTAGCATGAGACCTGCTACAGTTACAGAATTCATGTAGCATGTGACTGCTGATGCAAGTATGATGTAGGGCCGTATAGTTATATGATAAGTCATTCCCATAATGGTAATAACCTATCACCCTATACGGTGTCCCCCAAAGGAATTAGCTACATAATCAGTTATAATATCTTGCTGATCAGCTATGAAGCGATCAGCGAGCTAAATGTCAATACGACTAGTACATGTGGGGAGAATGCTGCCGACCAGCCACAGTCCTACAGTCACTCCTGGAAAACAGGGCAGCCAGGCAGGCGCACTTTTTTACACAACATATTGATTAAATATTTCTGCAGGTCTGAGATATAAACAAGTGTTGAAAACAGCAGTGACTCAGTGATGAATCACGACTATAAACATGTCATAACGTTGTTCATACGGAGCTTCCAACAGTCCAAATCCATCAATGTGTGACAAAACACGGTAAACTGAATCAACAATCCTACCCTCGAAGCATCATTGATGTTTTTATACTCGATAACAAACAATCACTTATTCTATTGTATTTTTGCTGAGCTTTGTGATCACTATGACGTAAAAGCTGATGATAGTCTTGTATTTTTTTCAACCTTTTTCCTATAATAAGTCAGAAAGCAATAAGTCATCTATAGAAAAAAAATGAGAATTTTCAAAAATTAATGATCCTAATTGTAAAACATGTATCTGACTCATGACTCCAAGGTAAATACTGATACATCAGCTACAACTGAGCTTTGATTTCCTTCACAAGTTGAATGGTGAGATTCACTAGCTACAACTGAGCTGTGAGATTCACTAGCTACAACTCTGCATTGTAGTCCTTTAGCTTATGATCTATATTATGAATTCCTGACACAAAAATTGGTATATATTAATTGTTTTTGTTCCCCTGATCAAATGGAAAATTGAAGAATACCCACAGATATCTAGTTATATCACCTCCACCGAAATCAACTGTACCACAAAATCAGTATCCTGTTCTCTATCTATATCTTAGTATTAGATTGTAAGGGCTATTTCCCTGTAGCTTTTCTGCATTCTCACACATAGCCACTGTTTTTTCCTGTTCTCTCCTGTATATCTATTGACATGTCCGCCTATATCGGGAGTCTGTCATTTCTGTTACTGGCCAGTCTGTGATAGTCGAGAGCTCTACCTAAACACACTATTGGCACTGGCACTATTTAATTATCTTAACACTGGCACTATTTTATTATCTTAACACTGGCACTATTTTATTATCTTAACACTGGCACTATTTTATTATCTTAACACTGGCACTATTTTATTATCTTAACAACGGCACTATTTTATTATCTTAACACTGGCACTATTTTATTATCTTAACACTGGCACTATTTTATTATCTTAACACTGGCACTATTTTATTATCTTAACACTGGCACTATTTTATTATCTTAACAACGGCACTATTTTATTATCTTAACAACACAACACAAGTGGAAGGATCAGAATCGGAATGAAAGACAAACTCGGTCCTAAATCACATTAGCAATGGAAGCCTACAGACATCCAATCCTTCATGTTACTTCAATGACTTAATTTCCTCACATAAATCAACTTAAATGTCACTATCAAAACAAATTCTGCAGGAAGCTAGATTCTGAATTGGATTTGCCCGGATCAATAAGTGCATAGGTACAAGTGCTTCTGACAATGTTGATATATCAAAGGTCAGCTGACCAAGTCTGGAAATAACCAGATCGTTTAGAGTGTACTGTGGTATTTCCGAGCTGATTGAGTAGTGTCTCACGCTCCTGTTAGATTACCATTTAAGAAACCCAGCAATGGACAAAGACACACATTAAATGAAAGGAGCAAACAATGTTGGAAGATGCTCAATATAATCATCAAATTCTGAAAATCTCCTATCCAAGAAATTCCTAAATGCTAACATTCTAATAAAATCCCAAAATGTTAATTGAAAGAGGTGAAATAAATTATGTTTATTCACCATATACCAACATGATAATTTTGCTGATAAGATATATCCTATCATTTTGCTCAAAAAGTTGTGAATGCGAGAAAATCTCATTTTTTCGTGGCAACCGACTGGGAGGATGATTCAGAACATCCCCAACATACACACACCATTACACAGACTTCAGAACGTCCCCAACATACACACACCATTACACAGACTTCAGAACGTCCCCAACATACACACACCATTACACAGACTTCAGAACGTCCCCAACTACGTCGACATCCTAACCACATACACACACCATTACACAGACTTCAGAACGTCCCCAACTACGTCGACATCCTAACCACATACACACACCATAACACAGACTTCAGAACGTCCCCAACTACGTCGACATCCTAACCACATACACACACCATAACACAGACTTCAGAACGTCCCCAACTACGTCGACATCCTAACCACATACACACACCATAACACAGACTTCAGAACGTCCCCAACTACGTCGACATCCTAACCACATACACACACCATTACACAGACTTCAGAACGTCCCCAACTACGTCGACATCCTAACCACATACACACACCATTACACAGACTTCAGAACGTCCCCAACTACGTCGACATCCTAACCACATACACACACCATTACACAGACTTCAGAACGTCCCCAACTACGTCGACATCCTAACCACATACACACACCATTACACAGACTTCAGAACATCCCCAACTACATCGACATCCTAACCACATACACACACCATTACACAGACTTCAGAACGTCCCCAACTACGTCGACATCCTAACCACATACACACACACCATTACACAGACTTCAGAACATCTCCAACTACGTCGACATCCTAACTACATACACACACCATTACACAGACTTCAGAACATCCCCAACTACGTCGACATCCTAACTACATACACACACCATTACACAGACTTCAGAACATCCCCAACTACGTCGACATCCTAACTACATACACACACCATTACACAGACTTCAGAACATCCCCAACTACGTCGACATCCTAACTACATACACACACCATTACACAGACTTCAGAACATCACAAACTACGTCGACATCCTAACCACATACACACCCCATTACACAGACTTCAGAACGTCCCCAACTGCGTCGACATCCTAACTACATACACACACCATAACACAGACTTCAGAACGTCACAAACTACGTCGACATCCTAACCACATACACACACCATTACACAGACTTCAGAACGTCCCCAACTGCGTCGACATCCTAACTACATACACACACCATAACACAGACTTCAGAACATCACAAACTACGTCGACATCCTAACCACATACACACACCATTACACAGACTTCAGAACGTCCCCAACTGCGTCGACATCCTAACTACATACACACACCATAACACAGACTTCAGAACATCACAAACTACGTCGACATCCTAACCACATACACACACCATTACACAGACTTCAGAACGTCCCCAACTGCGTCGACATCCTAACTACATACACACACCATAACACAGACTTCAGAACATCACAAACTACGTCGACATCCTAACCACATACACACACCATTACACAGACTTCAGAACGTCCCCAACTGCGTCGACATCCTAACTACATACACACACCATTACACAGACTTCAGAACATCACAAACTACGTCCACATCCTAACCACATACACACCCCATTACACAGACTTCAGAACATCCCCAACTACGTCCACATCCTAACCACATACGCACACTATTACACAGACAACATGATCTGTTATTATTCCTATATGACACTAATTGATATTCATAACAATCATTATACAAACATAATGCCAGCTACACAGGTCTCATTTCTGTAAGAATGAATCCCCAGTACACTCCATTGAAGCTCACTCAACTGGCTCCATGATTATTGAGCAGCCGCAGTGATAACATACTGTATTGTCTTGTAGTCAGCAGTCTCGGTGTTAACATGTTGTTTTGTAGTCAGTCCCAATGTTAACATGTCGTATTGTCTTGTAGTCAGTCCAAATGTTAACATGTTGTATTATAGACAGCCTCAGAGTTAACATGTTGTATTGTAGACAGACTCAATGTTAAAATGTTCTATTGTAGTCTGTCTCACTGTTAACATGTTGTATTGTAATCAGTCT